CCCCCCCCCCAACTGGGGATTGAACTCAAGCCCCTGCAGTTGCCGGGCAAGCGCTTACTTATTCTACTGAGCCATCTCCCCAGACCCCTCCTTCTACCCTTGGATTTGGTTCTTTCTCTTTTTAAATACTTTTATAGTTTGAGAGTCTTAAGTTTTGATTTCCATCCGAACAAGTGTGGGTTCTACCTACTTCTATTCATTTATCAGTGATACTAGGAGCTTGGTTCTTCTAGTTCTCAAAAAACTCCAGAGGGAGGACTGTGATGTAAGCCAGAGTGAAAATGTAGAAAGCTGATGTCAGGTAGAGCCTCCTCTCTCGGTGGAGAAAACTGCACAACAACTGCAGCACGTTTATTTATACACTTGGCTGGTTGGAATCAGCGGAACCCCTTGGTGTAACAACTCACACCCAAGTTCTCACCTCGGGCTGAAACAGCGTATTCATGTGGCTTGCCTCGGGCACTCTGTGTTCTCTGGCTGGCCTGGCTTGAGCCCTGATGCTGTGGTCCCTCTCCAGCAGCAGCTACCCTCCACAGGAGCTCTGTCCTGTAGCATCCCACGGTATGAATACCTCAGTTTATTTATACCTCCCATTAGAGACACTGGGCTTTGTGGATATAAGCACTCACTGTGGCGTGTGTGTGCAAGTGGGGTTGCTGTTACAGTGTAGGTCTACGTTTTGTTTAGCTTTAGTGTGTATTGCCAAGCAGCTTTCTTAAGTGCTTGATCAGTTGATAAACCACAGCACTGTATAGAAGTACTGGTTGCTCTGAATTCTTGCCAGCAGTTGGTACTGACCAAGCCTATTTGATGCTAGATGTTCTGGTGCGTGGGTAATATAAATAATGTATGTTGTTGTAGTATTTAATTTATAATAACAGCAAAGTTTTCAAAGGGCATGTGAAGACTTGGGAAGTATTCTGCAGAGAAAGTGAGTAAAAGTGTGTTTCTTGGGAATAGAAATGGAGCGGTATGAGCCACATGACTAAAGGAATATCTCAGGACAAAACGGAGGTTGAAAGTAGGCCTTTTTTCCCAGGGCCTACCAAGGAAGGTCCCCAGTTAACAGCTGTGCCACTAGGTTTTTCTAATTCCGAAATGTAAAAGAAACAGTATAGTTTCTGTTACTTCCAAATAGAAGAGCAAGTGAGTTTATGGATTGCTGGGAAGAGCTCCTTTGCACCAACTTAGTGCTGCCTCTTCTTTCTCCTCTAGGCCCGCCCTCTGCCAATTCTGCCCTTCTTCAAGGGGGACATCCCATCTTCCCCGGGGCCGGTTTTCAGGTGAGTTGCATTTTTCTGGAGTGCTGTGCTGCCTCAGCATAGTGGCGCATCTTTGTTTTTGGCACATGTGTCTCCAGACCGATGCTGGTGGTTTATTCAGCACTCGGTGCCCGAGGTCTCAGCCCAGCTTGGCTCTCACGCTTGCTTGGCTTTGGGCTGTGCCGCAGGGATGGCAGAGCAGAACACAGTGCTTCACCGAGTATGCTGGACTACCTGCTGAACAGGAGGCAGGTGACCAGCAGAAAGGTGAGGGGAGTGCTGTGGGAACGAGAGACTGAGAACATGACCTGAGGGGTTTGTGTGCCCCTCTCGATGGAGGCTTCGGGGACCTCAACGAGTCAGGTGGGGCGACTGCACACAGAGAAGGCTAGCAGCAGAGCTTTGCGGCCAGCGTGCACAAGAGGCGACCTGGCTGGGAAGACTCCAGGGAGATGGCTGATTCGAGCGTGGAAGCTCTGCAGTGTGGGGGAAGTGGAAGGCTTTCCTCTGTGGGCCATGAGTGAGTCTGAACACGTGGCCTCTGGTCTTTCAGAAAAGCAGTTAGCTATCAGGGAAGTTGGACAACAAAGGTAACAATTGCTCCCCTGGCCATAGTCACCTCAGGCCTCCTTTAATCAGGCACCTCCTTCTGAGTCCTCTGCCGGCCGCTTTGCTGTACCACAGCTTAAGTTCCCTTGGAAGAAAGAAACTCTCAGTTCTTCCTGCTTTGAGCTCAGTTGCTTGTTGTAATGCTTTATTTCCATTGACATGTGCATTAGTCAGGGCTTAGAAGATCTCACAGGCTGGGTAAGGCTCCTCAAAAGGCTCTATGTGCTCTGAATCAGATTAAATGCAGGCACAGAAATTTACGAGGCTGCCTAGGAGTTAGATGGAGAAGCATGCAAAAGATCTGTCCAGGCACCAGAGACCCGAAGGATCCAGAGTTCCTGGCACCCACAGCAGCGTCCTACACAAGTCTGTTGTCAGGAAGCTGAAGGATCCATGACGAAAGGTCCAGAGAAGGCCGAGGGGGTCTGCGTAGGGGCTGCGTTAGAAGCTGGAGTCTGCATAGGCAACCAGAGGCTGGTACTGGAAGCTGAACGCCTGTGCCTGAAAGCCAGGGAGACGGTGACCAAGATGAAGATGAGGGCTGGAGCTCCTTGAAGAGGAGAACTGGAGCTCCTCCTAGGGAAGCTGCTGCGCAGCACTCCTCCAGGGGAAGGCAGCTGGAAGCCCCCACCCCTCCCGCCCTCCTTTCCTACCAACAGCGACCCTCCACAGCTGGGCCTTCCACACCCAGACCCCAGAACCACACTGATTCAGGTCATTCCCCACCCACGTTAATTATCCACTACACAGTGTGTCGCACACATAAACCACACGTGGTGACAGCGTACACAGTCGTCTCTCTGTGTCTTCGAGGGGACACCAAAGGGGGCTGCTCTAGTCCTGTGTGACATGGCATGTGACCTCCGTGCAGCCTCCAGTGTGTACTGAGTATCTCTCGGTTGCTTGTCACACCCAGGACTGTCCTGCAGTATCAGACCATGTTGTCCAGGGAGGAGACAAGGAAGATGTGCACCCTGGCTGCAGCCGCGCATTCTGCGCATGTGTCGGATCCAGGAGCGCGGGGCCGCTTGTGCAGAGCCCAGCACTTGGGTCAGTTCGGACTTGGTGCCGTCAAGACAGAGTGTACTTTTACACTTTGAATCCTGTCACATTTATTGAGAATTTTTCCCTTCACCTTGTTTAATAGTGAGGGGCGAGGCAAGCGCCTACTGCTGAGCCACCCCAGCCCCGTGTACGCTGCTGTGTGCCTCGGGCTCTTCATGTTGTAATCCCACCTTCAAGCCTCAGGCTCATACAGCTTTCTGCTAGTCTTTTATTTTACTTAATTTATCTTTTTCTGTACAATGTAATCTGTAAATCAGCAGGAATTTTTGTGGATGTCATGGAGACCTCACCTGAATTTTGTTTACAAAGAGTCATTTATTATGACAACTTGGTGATGAGCCCATCGTATCTTAATTAACTTGGAAATTGCTTAATCCGTTTCACCTCCCACAAGCAGTCTGAATTTGAACCCCTTCATTATTTTAGAGGATTTTATTCTGTGACAAGGCACTCTGCTTTAATTACTGATTTTTTGGTATATTCTGAAACCTGTCAGGACAGGTCCCCTACTCTCCATTTTTTCAGTGCCTTCATCTGTTCTTGTGGGCCACAGTGGTAAACAGTGTGGTTCCCCGTTAACACATGGTGTCTTAGAACCCTGCACCGTGACACTGGGCGCTACCTGGCCAGTGTTGCCTGAGCACATTCCTGCCGGGTGGAGCCTGCGTCCACCCTCCATGCAGAGTGTTCCCCTTCGAATCCCCTTGAATATGAGCACTACCTGCAGGAGAGTGCTGCTTTGATATTTCTACAGAGCTGATGCGGGACATCAGTTTGTAGACCCACATCGCGTAGCCTGCAGCACTTGGGTCAGCGTTGCTGACTTCAGCCCTCTCCCAAGGCCCAGCAGGTATGTGCTCGGTGTTTCAGGAGTCCGTGACCTTCAAGGATGTGGTAGTGGACTTCACCCAGGAAGAGTGGAAGCAGCTGGACCCGGGACAGAGAGATCTGTTCAGGGACGTGACGCTGGAGAACTACACACATCTGGTCTCCATCGGTAAGGATGCCCTTTCTAGCAGGCTGGAAAACAAACTTGTACTTCTCCAAGCCTTGGGAGTAGGGAGGTGGTGACACTGGGGCACACTTCCTGTCCCAGCAGTTTCCTCCACAGTTTCCTCCACAGAGAAAGCCTGGGATTGAGTTCTTTTTTTTTTTTTTTTTTAATGTACTGGGGATCCAACTCAGGACTTCATGCTTGCCAGGCAGAGGCTGGGCCACTGAGCTAAATCCCCATCCATGGGATTGAATTCTGATGTAGCCCTTGCTGCAGACATGTTGTTTTCTTCCTTTGAGCAGGACTGCAAGTTTCCAAACCTGATGTGATTTCCCAGTTAGAGCAAGGGACAGAGCCATGGACGGTGGAGCCCAGTGTCACCGTGGGCACCTGTGGAGGTGAGTTGTGGGCAGAGGAGCCTGCTCATGGACACCGGCTGCCACTGCCTGGCAGGGTTTTCCCCAAGGAAGTGTGGACAGGCACACTTCTCTCCACAGCATCTGCTGTGCAGAACTGGGAAGACTTCCAGACACACAGGTTTGTCATCTCGCTTTCCCTCCAGTGCGTATTGTTTCTCTGTTGCTTTTATGTATTACTTATTGGGGGGAGTGCTGGGAATTAAACTCAGGACCTCGCGCTTGCCAGGCAGCAGAGTGCCACTGAGTTGCGTCCCAGGCCCCTCCCCTCTCTATCCCTTCTCTTCCCTAGCCAGCTTCCTGCCTGGGCTCCCATTCAGCTTTTCCCTCTGCCTCCAGGACGTTGGCTCTGGACTGAGCTTCTGGTTTTCAGATCTTACAGTTTTCACTTCAACCTCTGCACTCCCTCTGTGCACCCTTCAAATGGGAATACATTGCCTGCCTGTGTCTCCAGGTGCTTTTCCCCAGCACCATTGACCTTCCTGTCTGCACACGGTCTCTGTCTCTTTCCTTCCTAACAAAACAACAAAAGTGAGCTCCCTTCCAGCCATCTTCATTTTGTTACTGTCCTTTCCTTAACTCAAGTGTAGCTTCTGATCCTTTTGCTTTACCAGCTTTTGTTGTTGTTATTACTGGGAATCAAACTCAGGACCTTGCACGTGCCAGGCAGGCACTTGTGCCGTTGAGCTACATCCCTGGCCCCTCGCTTTACCATCACTGTTTCAGCTTTTGAGGACCTTTCTTCTGATCAGCAGTCTCCACACTGCACAGAGGCAGCTCTTCCAGGACTCAGCCCTGGAACAGAAGTCACCCCAGCACTCTAGGGACAGAGTGCATCTCCAGAGAATGCTGCAGCCTGGGTTGAAGTGTGAGAAATGCCAGGTCAACTGCAATTGTAGCAGTTTTCTTTGTGGAGTACTCTGATTGCTTCTTGGCCTTTCATCTAAGCTTACATGTGGAGTACATTCTGCTCCCCCCGCTTGAACTCAGTCAGACCCGTGTGCTTGCCAGGCAAGCGCTTATCCTACTGAGCCATCTCCCCGGCCCTCTCCCCGCTTTATAAATATGCCTTATGAATGTGCATTGGGGTTCACACATGGAGCTGCATGAACTCTTCTAGCCCTTGCCTCTCTGCAGTGGCTCCCTCCGTGTCGTATCCCTGCCCCTTGCACCCCTCCTTTCCTCCCACCCTTCCTTTACTTCCCCTTCCCACCTTCCCTCATTCTCTTTCCTTCCCTCTCCCTTTCCTTCCTACCTTTCTCTGTGAAGATTCTTTTAAAAACATGATTGAGAAAATTCTTGATATTTTTATTAAGAGTTTTATAAATTGGTGCTTTAATTAGTTTTTGAAAAAACGAGCTTAAGTTTTATTACAAATAAGACATGAAGTTTCAAAAAGTTATAGCTTAACTGGAGAGAAAAGGGTTTTTTTGTTTTTTTGTTTTTTTTTATGGCGGAACCGGGGATTGAACTCAGACCCTTGTGCTTGCCAGGGAAGTGCTTATTCCACTGAGCCATCTCCCCAGCCCCGAGAAAAGTATTTTAAAGCATTTAAATGTAAACCTCACGCCTCCCAACAAAGGTTTCCGTCAGTGCCAGAAAGAGATTCAGTTAGGCAAACATGATAAATACCTCACATTGCATAAATAGGGCAGATAGTTAAGGTGACCTGGAGGCATTTAATTTCTCTCTTTCTCTTTGGCTTTTTATTGCTGGAGTTTGACCCTATGACTGTTGTCTTGAAAAATCAGCCCGTAGTCCCTCCTCCTCTTAGCGTCCCGGGCCGACAGTCATGTGATGCTGTTCTCTCCGTCAAATGCCTCTTGGTTTGGAGGATGCCTCTGAGGCAGCAGATGAGAAGTGCAGCTGCGCCCGCGCCCTGGGCCTCTGTCGCCCCGGCGTTCACTCTCTGCCCGGTCCATTGGTCCATCATTGTCTTGTCCTTTGTGCTTTTGTGTTTCTATCCTCACTGGTCTACTGTGTTCTCTGACTGCCTGTTGTTAGCACCAGCGGTTGCTTCCTCATGCTCTGAGTGCTAGAATGTTCCCTCCAGTGCCCACAGACTTCGTGTGTGGTGGTGGGGGCCATGATCTGAGCTGAGGCCATGGAGTCAGCATGGTCTTCTGAAGCTTCCTTGTTCTCTCCGGCTGTTTCTTTTGGTTCCCAAGTAAGGATGTGACCACTGCCGGTCACGGTCCTGAGCTGCATGGTGCCTTCCTCTGAGCCTACAGTTGGGTCAGCCTTGTCCACCTCAGCTTCTCCTCTTCGCATCACACTGCGGGGTCCCCACTGCTCTGTCCTACGGGCCCCTAGGAGTCCTGCAGGCCTGTGCTGTGCATGCGCAGACCTTTTGTGGTTGTGTTAGGTGATGAAGACAGTCATGTCTTCTGAAGAATGGCCACTCTAAAGCTCATGCTGTGGTGACCTTGCCCTCACGGAGAGGCCGCGCTGTTCCTGTGCTAAGGAGTGGGTATGGGGAAGGTGGGCGGCTCTGCTGCGGTGACAGCAGTGCTGGCCATGACACCTCTCGGTGGGGATAGACGCGGTTCCCTGGTCAGCCGGATGTTCATATCCAGTGTGGCCAAAGAAAGTGCCGTTTTGTGTAATTTTATTTATTTGTCTTTTTGAGACAGGGTCTGGCAGTGCACTTCAAGCTGACCTTGAGCTCACTTTGTATCAGAGGCTGGTCCTGAGCTCACAGTGATCCTCCTGCCTCAGCCTGCCGAGTGCTGAGAATGTAGGCATGCCCCACCACGTCTGGCCTGGAATTGCCTTAAACAGCTTCTGCTAGCCCTGAATGCCACCTCTTCCCGTGAGCTCTCTGATCTGGAGCAGCACTCTGGTCCCTAACTGCTTTCTTGTCATTGTGTTTCTGCTGTTGCGTTGTTGTTCAGTGATAAACTGCTTTCACTTCCACTGCTCTCTTGTTCCCACTGCTCTCTCTTACCTGCGTGTCTGCGGCTTCCGGTATTCTTCTCTTTCCTCCAGTCCTATACCTGAACACACTGGTTGCTCTCCTAGTTGGTGTCTTCCAGTCTCACACATGCTGCCTCAGGCCCAAGCTCCAGTTCCTCCCAACTGTACGCTGCCTTGGCTTTGCCCCACTGTCTTCTTCCATTTGGTCCTATCTGCTCTTCACAGTGTCCGTCCCAGCTGTGTCACAGCCCTGCCCCAGTGTTCCCACCCAGCCAGTAGCCTCATGGCTCAGCCAAGGCTCTCCTGTGATGAGCACATCCACCCCGATATTTGTTCATTATTGGTTAGCAAGAATCTCAGTTCCAACTCAGCCATTTCTGGGTCACCCTTTAATAGCTGTCACCTTAAACGTAACTCCATTATTTGTCCTTAGATATTGAGGCGATTGAGATAAACATTCTCTTGCCACCTTCACAGTTTGTTGTTATCCTTAGCTCTTTTCTGTGTCATAGAGCTATATGTTTGAGAATACTTGGCAGTTTCTGTTGGCTTTAGTTGCAGCTTCATTCCCACCATCGCAGTTCTTTCTCCTTGTCCTGAGAACATTGATATTTTCTTTTCTTTCAGACTGGGAGCCAAGACATGAAAATAGCGTGCCCCCTCCAGACGTGGACTTTGCTGAAGGGGTGCATCCTTCAGAGGCACTAGTGGAAAAACACAGACGAGTGGGTCCTTGGGATCCCAGCATTCTAGGCGCTTGGGAGTCTGAAGGCAGCCTAGGGAGGCAGCAGACACTGCTCAGGGAAAAACTGAAGGTGACTGAAAAGACACCCCCTTGGAAGAGAGGCCCTGTGAATACTGAATTTGAAAAAAGCAGTGTGTGCTCAAGCGCTGTAACGCAGCAGGAAATAGCCCCAGAGCAGACTTCTGCTAAGATAGGCAGCAAGCAGAATTCACACCCAGTTAAAAAAGAGAAATCTTGTAAGTGCAATGAATGTGGCAAAGCTTTTAGCTATTGCTCAGCTCTTATTCGCCATCAGCGGACACATACTGGAGAGAAACCCTATAAATGCAATGAATGTGATAAGGCTTTCAGCCGAAGCGAAAACCTTATAAACCATCAAAGAATCCATACCGGAGACAAACCGTTCAAATGTGACCAATGTGGGAAGGGCTTCATCGAGGGACCCTCTCTTACTCAGCATCAGCGAATTCACACTGGAGAAAAACCCTACAAATGTGATGAGTGCGGGAAAGCCTTTAGCCAGAGGACCCACCTTGTTCAGCACCAGAGAATCCACACTGGGGAGAAGCCGTATACTTGCAATGAGTGTGGGAAAGCGTTTAGCCAGAGAGGCCACTTTATGGAACATCAGAAAATCCACACAGGAGAAAAGCCTTTTAAATGCGATGAGTGTGATAAAACCTTCACCAGGAGCACACACCTTACCCAACACCAAAAAATTCATACTGGCGAGAAAACCTACAAATGCAACGAGTGCGGGAAGGCCTTCAATGGGCCCTCCACGTTCATCCGGCACCATATGATTCACACTGGGGAGAAGCCCTATGAGTGCAGCGAGTGTGGGAAAGCCTTCAGCCAGCACTCAAACCTCACTCAGCACCAAAAAACACACACCGGGGAGAAGCCTTATGACTGTGCGGAATGTGGGAAATCTTTCAGTTACTGGTCGTCCCTTGCCCAGCATTTGAAGATTCATACTGGAGAAAAACCTTACAAATGCAATGAATGTGGAAAGGCCTTCAGCTACTGCTCATCCCTCACCCAGCACCGGAGAATCCACACGCGAGAAAAACCCTTCGCATGCAGTGAGTGTGGGAAGGCTTTTAGTTATCTCTCCAACCTGAACCAGCATCAGAAGACACACAGCCAGGAGAAAGCGTATGAGTGCAAGGAGTGTGGGAAAGCCTTTATTCGGAGTTCGTCTCTTGCCAAGCACGAGCGAATCCACACTGGAGAGAAACCCTATCAGTGCCACGAGTGTGGGAAGACCTTCAGCTATGGCTCATCCCTGATCCAGCACAGGAAGATCCACACTGGAGAGAGACCGTATAAGTGCAACGAGTGTGGGAGGGCCTTCAACCAGAACATACACCTCACTCAGCACAAGAGGATCCACACTGGGGTGAAGCCTTACGCGTGTCCCGAATGTGGGAAGGCCTTCCGGCACTGCTCGTCGCTTACTCAGCACCAGAAAACCCACACAGAAGAAAAGCCCTACCGGTGCAGCAAATGCAACAAGACATTCAGCCAGAGCTCCCACCTGACGCAGCACCAGCGGATTCACACTGGAGAGAAGCCCTACAAGTGTGGCGAATGCGACAGAGCCTTCAGCCGGAGCACGCACCTGACAGAGCACCAGGGCACTCACAGCGGGGAGAAGCCGTACAACTGCAGCGCATGCCAGAAGACCTTCAGCCAGAGCACACACCTCGCCCAGCACCAGAGGGTCCATTTGGGGGAGAAGCCCTTTGGCTGTGCCAGCTGTGGGAAAGCCTTCCGGTACCGCTCTGCACTCAGCAAGCACCAGAGGCTGCGCCCTGGCAGCTGCCTGTCCTAGAGGCCCAAGCAGAGACCCGAGGAGCAGAACCGACTGAAAACTACTAGACGTGGTTGACTCTGGCCGTCACACTACGGAATGGAGAGCAGGCTGGGCTGAACTGATTGTTACTAAAACAACTTTGTGACATAAACCCAACTATTTTACATGGAGCAAAAGATTTGAATAGATAATTTCAAAGGTAGTTTAGTGTTTTATACTCAGTTTTGTACATTCATAATATATTCTTAAATGGTTTTGCTACATATTGCATTCTGCGTGTTGTGTCAGAACGTGTGTCCATGCATGGCTTGTTTCAGTAAAGAGGGACCTGTTCTGTTCCTGTTCTCCTGCACCTGAGTTGCTTAGGGAACTGATTTGTAATAAATCATAAAATAACCTCAAATTGAGTTACGTAGTAGCCTAACTCAGCATGTGCATAAAACTGGAGCCAGCTGCAGTGACCTGTGCCTGTGCTGCCAGCTTAGGAGGCTAAGGCAGGATTACTTGAGCCCAGGAGGTTTTTTGGAAATATAGAGAGACCTCAAATCAAAAAGCAAGAGAGCAATCCCTTCATAGTATTTCTGCTTTGTGTGTTTTCACATTCAAGGAGTTTATTGCAGCCAAGCAGCAGACTTAAGCCAGTGCTGTTGAACCCTTGCCAGGAGGCTGGGCGATCTGGAGTCTTAACACTTGTGCAGCTGTGCCTGCTGAGGGTTGCTTCCTGCTTGCACACAGTATCTTTTTTTTTTTTTTTTTTTTTCTGCATTTTAGGAAAGGGTCTACGGGGTGTTCAGGGTCTCACTACTAGGTCAGACTTGTAGTGATCTGCCTGTTCACAGCTTCCCAAAGTGCTGGGACTACAGGCGTGCAACACCACGCCCAGTCTCAATGGCCATCTCAGGCCCTGGGATCAAACCCCTGGCTCCTACGTGGCAGGCTCTTTAATCAAGTGAGTTATCTGGCCTGCCCTGCACACAGCATCTTTGTGTGATGGAGACCAGCTTGCTTTATCTTTGTGTATGTGTGTGTGGTTTGGGGCTTGACCATAGTCTTCACACTGAGCCATAATCCCCTTTTTGTGTTTTATCCTGAGATGGGGTCTGGTTAAGTCACTGAGTTGCTCACTGTGGCTCAAACTCCTGATCCTCCAGCCAGCCTTCCAGGGTTCTGGGCCGCAGACGAGTGCCACTGCATTCATTTCTTCCAGGGTAATTTTGAGTGTCATCCTCGTTTATGTTTTAGGTTTTCAGAAGCCCTGATCCCTGGGAGGTAGGAGTAGTGGTTCTTCACCACAGTACAAAAACTAAGAGTGGAAAGTAGCAATCATTCAATTTTCCATGGCTGCCTCGTATCTGAAACAGGTGACAAGGGCCAGGGAGATGGCTCAGTGGAATATGTGCTTCCCTGAAACAGGTGACAGTATGTGCAGCCCCAGAGAGCACAGCCCGTGGTCGGGGTGATGTTGGTGCGGGCCTTGCTCAGGAACAAATAGGGTTTAGTCAAGTAATCCGCCCCGCTTCTGCAGTCCCAGCCCAGTGACTTCCGCATTGGCTCTCTGAAGCACAAGTTGTGGGTTTTAAGCCTGGCCTTGCCTGTGGAGCCCTGGAGACAAGGGCAACACCCGGGTGGGTCATTGTTTCCATAAGAGACCGTCCGCAGATGCGTTTGAGGGAGACAGCACTGTAGAGTTTCAGATACAGTTCTTTTTGGTCATATAAATGCTCAGTGAAGGGCTGGGGAGATAGCATAGTAGAATAAGCGCTTGCCTGGCAAGCACAAGGTCCTGAGTTTAATCCCTGGTATCACCAGAAAAAAAAATAAATAATAATAAATAAATGCTCATTGATGTGCTTTGGAATTTTGTCACTGCCTCAACTAAAAGTGCCAGGCAGTAAAGAACAGAATTTAGGAAGTCATGTGGCCATGTATGTCTTGGGATCTTTTTCTGTTGTAATTTGAAACAGCTGTGAAGGTACGTTACCTGGATATCTCTTAATTTCTCAAGGCGTTTTTCTTTATGTAGGAGTGAGAAATGTCTCACTGCTCAGAGGGAGAGAAGTTTAGGAATTGGTACCATGTTGCAAGCAGGCTTTGTAGCAATTGTGAGTCACCACCACACTGCAGAGAGATGAGGTGCCTGCACTAAGAGGAACGGTGGGTCCTCTTGTGTCACGGGAGGGGCCAGGATTCCTGGGAAGACTGGTGCCATACCCGCTCCTACGTGAAGAAATAGAACTTCAGTGGGAATTTGTCATTAACTCTGAAAGTAATACTTTGCTGCAGTAATTATCTCCTCATCGATCCTGTCAAGTCAGACTCGGGACCCAGACTGTGATCGTAACGTAGGAAAAGGCCCTGTCCTGCTTCCCTCTTGGCTTTGTTTTCCCATACTTTGAAGACACATCACTGCCAAGCCACATCCCAGCCCAGTCTTTTGCAGAGCTGGTGGATAAGTGTAGCCAGGTGTGCTAACACACACTTGTAATCCTAGCACTTGGGAGGCTGAGGCAGGAGGATTGTGAGTTTGAGACCATCCTGAACTGCATGGGAGACCCTGTCTCAAAAAGACCCCTGAGTGCTTGTGCTGGTGAGCTCAGGTTTTGTCCTTTATTGCCTGAAGATGCCTGTAGCCATGCCCTTACCTGCACTGTAAAGGCCAAAAAAGGAAGTGATTCTAAATAACATCTCACCCAGTGGAGGACCACCTGAGCAGCTCTCCTTGAAAGAAGAGTGACTGTCTCCATCTTGACTGAGCCTGACCCTATTTCCTCATATTGTTCTGTACAGAGCTGGCTAGGACTTCTGTTTATCCTTCAGTTGGCCCTAAGCAGTGTGTATTGGTCTAGCTGAGGTGCTGGTGATAGTCTTTGAAGGTGGCGTGCGTGCTTCCCTGGTAACCTACACCTGCTGCTCTTCAATGTGAGCCGCAGGGTCAAGACAGGACAAAGAGCCAGTGCTCCACGCCACCAGCTGTGATCAAGCCTCGAGACAGGCTATGACTTCCTGGGGCTTGAAAGACTACATCAAAGCTGAAGCACCAGACCCCCCCAAAACATTAGATGCTATCGCAATGGCATAATAGTATAATGCAGAGTACTCTCTCTGCATATCCTCTCTGCATATGGCGGAGGTAGATGCAGGTCACCCACCTAGCTCAGCTCACCTACTTCCCACAATTCTCAGTCAATCCTCCTCAAGCCACTCCCTCACTGAATAAAAACTGGGTGAGGCTCTGGGTCGCTCTCTTGGTTCTGGGAAGCCATCTTCGTGGCTGAACTTAAAGCCTCTTAACTCCTCAATGATTGAAATATAATTTAGTGTCTTTATTTTCGCCGTGGGTTGCATTGTAAGTGGTAGACTAGAATCAACTTGATGGGATTCCAATAGCATAACTCTGGGATTACAAACATTGGCTTCATGGACCGAGACGAGGATCTGGAAGGGACTCCTACATCACCCAGTCTTTTTTCTTAATTCTGTAGTTACATGTCAAAAACAGTACAGTATAACAGTTCTTCATATTTTTCATACTAAGAATAAAGCAAAATTTAAAATACAGGAGGAAGTTAGAAGAATTTATAGTTAATCCAGAAAAATAGATTCAGGCTTTGAAGTCTTTACATCCAATGACAACACCCCTTTCCCCATAAAAATACCTCAAAATCACAGCCACCTGTGAGAAAGCAAGGTGCTTGTTGCTGTTTCCAGAAGATTCTAGTGCCTTCATAGTTTCTTCAGATGTTCCAGGGTTCCCAGAGTGTTCATAGACACCTCTCATTTTCTTCCAGGTCTTAGATTGGCAATTTCCTTGACTACCAGCAGGTTATAGATGTTGGACTAACTGACTGGTTTTTGCCAAGCAATTGGATAAGGAAAGCCAGAAAAGGAGATGTGTCACAACTTCTGACATTTGTCCTTAAATGTTTAGGTCTTCACTAAAATTCATTCAGCCACAGCCAGTGCCTATGAGGTGCCCGAAAGTGTTACAGGGATAGAGGCTCACAGACCCATGTTTCTGTCCTCACAGGATTCCCCTAATAAACGATGGGAAATGCCAGGTGGTGATAGGTATGGTAATGAAGCAAGTGAAGGGTGTGAAGGAGCCCCTGCCCCAATAGCTGTGCAGTTGAGACATGGTTGTGAGATGCCTTTCTGGTAAAGTATCGTTGGCACACACAGTTGGAGAAGGTGCGTGGATGGACTGCGTAGGTACTGGAGGAAGCACCTCCAGGAGAGGGATGGGCAGTCACAGGTCCAGCAGCGGCAACACCTTGGGCAGCTCTGCGAGCACAGGCTGAGCGCAATGGGCGGGCGGTGAAGCAGGCAGCCGGGGGCAATTCCTGCACAGGCTTCTTGGGAAAGGCTTGGGTTTAGTATCTTACTCTGAACAAGATGGGCCTGGGCTTGGGGTAGGCTTTCTCTCTCTCTCTCTCTCTCTCTCTCTCTCTCTCTCTCTCTCTCTCTCTCTCATCTTACTGTGTATTCCAGGCTAGCCTTGAACTCACTGTGTAGCCCCGACTGACCTCAAAATATGGTGATCCTCCTACCTCAGCCTCCTGACTAGGGGGATTACAGGCATGTGCCACCATTCCCAGCCTCTGTTATTTTCAAAGGGTCACACATTCTACTCTAATTTACGTAGCCAATTTTTTTTTTTTGCCAAAGATCTGCTCCATTTTACATTGCTGCTGACTGAGTTTGGGAGTTGCCATTGCTCCACACGTTCAGCAGTGTCCACGTCATACTTTGAATTTCCACTGTGTTTTAGGAAAGTGGTTTAGGTACCTGTCAGGCCTCTGAGGAGAGGCATCAGTAGGCCACTGGATCAGGGATCCAGTTTGCAGGGTGAAGGAGAGGTGTGCCCTCAAGGTGCACTCCGGGAATTTAGGTCGAGAGCTACACACACCCCTCATGTTTTGGATGCTGATTGGGCCACTGGGGCACCATATTGGATGTGCTGAATGTGCTGATGGGTCATGGGGTCTGCTCAGCAGGGTGAGTTACTGGGGCCTGGCCTGGAAGGGCCTCACTCTCCTGCTCCTCTCTGCTTCTGGCCACCACAACATGAGCAGCTCCCCTCCCTGTGCCTCTCTGCTGTACCATTTCACCTTCACCTGTGGACAGGACTGAGCCAAAGGCCTCCTTTATTTTGTGGTTTCGGGTACTGGCTCAGTGACAAGAAAGTAAGACAGGAGCTGATGATGTATATTTAAAATCATGGAACTAGCAGGGGCCAGAGAGATGGCTCAGTGGAATAAGTGCTTCCCTGACAAGCGCTGCCTGAGTTCAATCCCCAGGCCAGCGGAGAGGAGAGTGCAGGAAGCACCGCGGGTGTGGAGGGAGGCGGGAGCATGGCAGCAAGCAGCTGTCACACTTGCGCGGTTAGATTTTGTTGGGATGGGAGGGGAAAAGCCAAAGTTCTAAAGGAGATGAGTAAGATGAAAAACCTGCCTGAAGCAAGCCGCTGAGGACTCCAGGTAATGCCATGGGGCAGGGCAAGAAGGGTGTGGATGTCTGGGGTGGAAGGGAGACCCAGGTCACACGCAGACAACGGCAAAGACAAGATCCCAGGGCACTGTGTGGACTTACAAAATGCATGATTAAATCACCAAATGTAGCTGTCTGTACGGTCCCAGGAAGGCGAGACAGGTGCCATAATCACCAACGGGATGACGGGACAGCAGAGGCCTTCCACGAGCAGTGGGGGCCTCTCGGTGGAGGGCAGGTGTCCCAGGGAGCTGAAGTCTGTGTGGAGCAGGAAAACACTGTTTTAGTTGCTTTTCTCTTTGCTGAGACAAAATGCACAACACCCTCAAGTTAGCATTTTTGTTGTTGTTGTTGGCAGAAGTGCTTATTCCCCTGAGCCACCTCCCTGACCCCTTTAGCATTTTTTTAAACACCCTGAAGTTAAAGGAGGGCAGGTTTACTTAGCTCTCAGTTTGTAGAGGTTTCCATCCTTAAAAGGCTGGCTCCCCAGCAGGGTGGCATCGCAGAGGGGCAACTGTTTGTGGTGGCAGAAGACAGCTGAAGCAACAAGAGAAGAGAGAAAGCCTCTTTCCCTCCCTTATACTGGATGCAGGCAACCCGCCCGAGGCAGGCACGGCACACCCTTCCGCCCAGCTCTGGGCCATGAATCAGGCACAGATTCAGCCACCTCTGGAAGGCCTGCCCCGCTCCCCAGCAGCCTTTGCGGGCTGTCCGGACAGAAACCGTAACCAGCACCTACCTCACCCTCTGGCCCACGCCGGGCGGTGCAGAAAGCAACTGCTGCTGCGTCGCTGAAGCCTAGGGACGAAGCCAGACAGCAACGGCGATCTGCAAGAGGAGCAGAGGAGCGGGGCGGGGGTGTTCTCAGTCTGTGGTACATTTTCTTGGAAACTGTGGCAAATGCTGAGGAGAAAGTGGCCCTGACAGTTTAGGAACGCTTGGAATCAAGTGTAGTGTTCACTGAGCCCGAGCTCTGAAGTCTTGGCAGAGCGCTGAAGAGGGCAGCTGAAGAGGGCAGCTGAAGAGGACGCAGGCCAGGGTGCGCCGCCTCCTTCCGCGCAGAATTGGGTTCATAACGGAGCTGCGCACTGCAATCAAGTAGGGCAGATGCATCCGGGGGGCGGAGCTGATTCTCCCCGGAGTGACTCTACTGAATTTTATTCATGTAGTTTTGTGTTACTACAACAAAGTACACAAATCTGGAGGACTTTATAAAGAAGAGGATTGTTCAGCTCACAGTTCTGGATGACTCTGGTGACAGAGCCCAGAGGTGGCACAGAGCATCACCTGGCAAGAGACAGGGACATGCACACATCTTCTGGTCTCCATCCCTCTTATGAAGCCGCCTGTGTTCAGCCCCGGAGGGTCTGCCCTGGTGACTT